TATATATTTCTCTTTTGATATACCTATACACTATTATAACAATGTAGTGTAGTTACATGAGTGACCGCTTTGTGACCCGACAGGTAGTCCAGATGAAGCCAAAGATCTCAGCACAGCTCATCGCCACCAGATGTCACAGCCGCCCGCCATGCTCTCCACAAACAACGACTTCTCGCTATCCGCCTTCTCCTCCGGCCACGGCATGGCCGCCGCCGCCGCCGCCGCTGCCTGGCATGGCTTCCCCGGTTACGGCGCTCACTCGCTGCCTCTCGCGGATGCTCACGCGACAGAGGGCGCCACCGTCGACCAGGTGAACTTTGGCGCGAGCACGAGCGCGGGGGCGCTGTCGTCGCAGGCGGTGCTGGCGAAGCCCGTGCCCGTACGGCGACTGTCGGAGAAGCGCATAGCGCAGGCTCGCGCCTGCATCGGATCCGTACCTGGCATCATGCCGGACCACAACGACCGTGAGTGCTGCTCTCTTGTCTCTGTGGTGGGAAGGGCGTGGTGGGTGGTGGTGTGGGGGGTGGTGGTGGGTGAGTTGGGCATGGGGGAGTGGTGGGGGTCAGGTGGTGTGGCGTAGTGATGGTGGGTGAGGTAGGCATGGGGGAGTGGTGCTGATGGGGGAGGCATGGATGAGTGGTGGGGGAGGCATGGAGGAGTGGTGGGGGAGGAGTGGTGGTGAGGAAGGCCTCATGTGGTGCCTTTATAATATTTAAATAACTATTCTGTGAACTGTTTGTGAAGATGCTTATCGTTTTATTAGCAACGTAACATGTGGTAAATGAGAGAGATGGGAGGCGCGACAACACGCAGAAGAGTATGGAAACCAAGATGGCGGCGTCCGGCCCAATCGGAAAACCCATTCTTTCCGTCACATCCTAGAAAAGAATTTTGTTGATCTATTCTCTTGAATGGGTTTTCTATTCTATTCTATTCTATGGGTTTCCGCTATTCTGTTGAATGGTCCGAAGGTTCCCGATTGCGTCTATGAGCCATGAGCTCGCCATTTTGCACGTTGCCGTACGTAAGCAGGTCGGACTCTCCTAATTGTTAGGTCCATTGTGTGAGTGGCACTGGGCAGTGGGCAGTGCGCGCTTGCTCGTGTGTGTGTGTGTGTGCGTGCGTGCGCGTGTGTGCGCGCGTGTGCGTGTGTGCGTGCATGTGTAATGAATCAGAAATCGACGCGAACGAAAATTAATATCGAAATGTAGGAATAGAGCACAAGCGATGATGGCACGCGTGGTAGAGTGCACGTCGTGTTCGCGCGTGCGTGCGTGTGTGGGCGTGCGTGCGCGCGCGTGTGTGTATGCGATGTTTTGTTCGTCTGCCTTTGTCCGTCATCCTGCGAGAGCGTGTTTGTCGATGGTTTACATCACAAGACGGACGCATTGTGTCCGAAATCCCCGCGCACGTAAATTATACACACCTGACCGCTGTCCAGTCTCGCTGCGAAAATACGTGCCAAGGGTTTTCGCGTAAAAATCCTCGCTGTATGTTGTTTGTGAAAATATTTGCCGGCGGCGAATGTCCAGCGCTGGCCAGTCGAATTGAGGACATCTGTTGTTCTCTTTCGAGGCCAGTGGTAATCTGAAAATGCGCTCCGGCCGTTCGAGTGGTCAGTAGAACTAAGCAAAGATCGCCACAGCAAACAGCTTTTCATCTCCCGTGTTGACATTTTTCTATTTTGTGGAAGCTACTAGCCACTGGTCAACCGCGCGGCTGATGGTTTCTGCTGATGACTAATCGGCCGAAAACTAGCCGCGTGAAATTAAGCTGAGCAAAAACTGGCCTGACCACTGGTCAGTTGAATGGGAACCTGAATGGGAACGCGAGGAATGTTTCTTCCCAGAGAAATTCTTCGTATAATCGTGTGCATGTGCAATCAGCGCGCACCTACTTAGCGTCTTACCTCGTCTTACAGGTTCCCTAGTACTGAGCGAGAGACAGAGAGAGCTAGAGAGAGAGAGAGAGAGAGAGAGAGAGAGAGAGAGAGAGAGAGAGAGAGAGAGAGAGAGAGAGCGCGAGATAGAGGGGGAGAGACAGAGGGAGAGAGGTATATAGAGAGAGAGAGAGAGAGAGAGAGAGAGAGAGAGAGAGAGAGAGAGAGAGAGAGAGAGAGAGA